ACAGGGACAACCGCTACACCCTTAGCAGACCTTGGCAGTTGGCAACCACATTCACAGGGGCCCATCCACCTGTAATAAATCTCATAAAATAAGAATAGACATAACAATTCAAACACAAATAGTTAATAATTTTTATTTCAGTAGTTTTGTTTAGTTTTGTTAGAGTTTTGTTTGCCTAAACCAAACCAAAGTGCAACGTTTCACGACTTTAATAACGTGCCGTTTCAAAATGGCGATGTTTCGAAATGCTAGTGTTTTATTTTGAAAGTCTAACCGGACTGTAGCATGACTACACTGTTTTAATAAATTTATGAGTATTAATACCCAATTATGAATTTTAATATTCAGAAAATATTAATCCATAAATCTCTCGTTTTGCGGGGCACCACCGCAGTTTTAATTAACCCAGAGTCTCCGGACCTCTGGGTAGCATTTTAATAATTATACAATTATTCACCAGTGATCAGTTAGCTAATAATCGCTCAATTATCTTAAATCAATCAGTCAGTCTTATATTGAAGGGGTAAATTCTCTTGGCAGGGACTTGGAGAGAGGCAATACACACAATTCCTTGATGACAGTGAAGTTTGTTAACTAACTAAGGTGACACATCAAAGAAATAAACAATGGCTAAACAATGAGAAGGGGTTCTATTGTGTGGAGCATTTGACTCATACGGGCAGCTAATGAACGCAATTAGATGATAACTCGGTTAAATTTGTCCAGGAGTTTCAAGGATTAAATATACTGGACTGACAGACTATGGGACATCCCTGATCACAGAGTGCAGGGTTTTGGTCTTACTGCTTGTTTTCTCCCCGCCGGGTTGCTGGTAAAACAGCCTCACACTGGCAGAGTCCGTTTAGTTTAGCTTTCTGGATATAGGCTATTGGCTGTTACATATTCTTAGAGAATATAAGCAAGATACACGAATGGCATTAGGTTATGGACAGGTAAATAAAGTGACATTTATACATTTCAGACGACAGCCTGTAATACTTCTTCTGTTCCACTTGGGGGAGCTTGGGTTACATGACGATATCTCTGATTAATCCTAAAACAATCTTCTCAGGAGCTGGGGAATTTAGTCATTTTTAACCTTAAATTCAAGCTGGAAAATTAATCGAGTATAGGATGACATTTCTTTATCAGCATTTCTAAAGGAGGTGTCTGAAAGTGTTGGGAAAAAGCATTGGTTACACATAAAATGAAGGAATGTCATTAACCTTGCTGAAAATTAAAACATCCGGTACTTTGATGTCGTGAGGCACCCTAGAAGGAGAGGCATTGGACACTTCTTTTGCTGTCCTGCTAAGTGTCTATTGACACCATTACGGCATCCATAAGCGATGCATGTCCAAACACCAGGCGATGTCTCTAGTTTTTGCATGTCAAAAGGCCAAGAAAACTTTCCTACCCCCTCCTTTTTCTCAGAGAGAGAGAGGGAAGGGATTTTTGAGTCTCCAAATTATTTGATATAAAATGCACAAATCCACACTGTTGGTACACAACAGGACGTTACATATTTGTTGTTGCTAACTTTACAAGACGTTGCATATTTGTTGTTGCTAAGCGTTGCTAACTTGGCTGCGGAGCCTGATGCAAGGATTATAGTTTCCGTGTCTGCAAGTACGCGAGGGTCCGCTAGAGTCAACGTGACGAAAAAGTCGTCATCAGAGGGGGTATGCATAGAGTCTGCGCAGACGTCCGTGTGCCTCCTGTTTTTTGTCATATGTGCACCAGATCCACACGGCGACTACCGCTACCAGGGCAACAACCAATCTACTGTGCATGTGTGGAACATGTCCGCCATCAGGGCTGGACTGGTAATCTGGCATACCAGGCAAATGCGGTTTGGGGCTGGTGTAACGTAAATTATTTATTTATATTAACTGTTTTTAAAAAACGTGCCAGATCATCCCATAAAGCATGGACAGTCGCCCATTGGGTAATTTTCTGTACTGACATTGGGCTGGCCCAATCACATCTCTTACTAGCCCCCACTCGTGATTCCAACTCTGAAACTTCGTAAGATGTTCAGTTTTGCCCTTGACCTTTGTTTCTATCTTGTCACAGAAAATACACTGATTAGGAAACAGGAAGGTATAGTACATTCAGATCAAACTGTCTGAGATTTGTGCAGGCGTAGGGAGTCCTTTATTGATGATGATGATTTACCACGTAGAAGCGTTTGAGGCTTGTAAATGATCCAAGTTACCTATGAATCTGAACAGTTTTGATGAAGCCAGTTGTGTCCATACGCAAGCTCTTCAATATCAATGGTATCTTGTCACAAATATCCTTCATATGGTAGTGTGAAGTGAAAGCTTACTTTGCTCCCCCTGCATTTTACACTATGGTGCACTGTGCAGCCATATAAGGAAAAACTATGCAGATAATTAATTTGAAAATGCATGAGATAAAGGTCTGCATGGGCACTTAGACTCAGATCAGGATTGGTACTGAAAAAACATGACTGGGAAATCCTTGAACACACACAGTTTGATGCTTTCCAGGAGTCATTTTGTGATTTCTGTTGGCGTTTGTCTAAAGCTTCGGTAGCACTGTCATCTCACACCAAGAGCTTGTTGTTAAAGTCCAAGCAGGTAAATTTAATGCAATTAGATTTGTCTTGTCCCCCATGACCTTCAGCAGGATAAACATTTATCAAAAATGGAAGTAACTTTGCAGACAAATGCAGAGAACATTTGCACTGAAATTATATTAATATTCCAACACTAATAATCGCTGTCCACTTTATTATTGTTGTCAGTCAGCATTTTGCACAGTAACACAATTTAAATTGTAAATTTTGAGGTGAAGGAATTAAATCTCTAATCCAAGTTACCTATTAATCTTTTATAACAATTTTCATGAACCCAGTTTTATCCATACCAAGACCTCCAATGTCTACAGTATGAAGGGTATTTGTGGGTGAAGTTGCTGCTTCAGAGTCTCTTATCTCAAATACTGTGTGGATATGATCCCCTCTCCCTTTGCTCCCCCTAATGTCACTGAAGGCAGTAAAATTACCACGGGGAAAGTTTTTACAAAAGTTGTCCCCTCTGAGGTTAATTAAAAGAAAATATTTAGCTGTGGTCTTTTTTTTGCTATTTTCGCACTGTTATTGTCCTGAAATAGAGTCAAGATGTGTTTGAATCCTAACAGTAACCATTTAACTGAATTCCTTGGGTCAGATTTGTGTGGAAAAAAATTTACTCATTGGTCTCTGTATGTTGTTTGCTTCAAAAGTTACGCTGTTTTCTGTTTATTTTGGGTTCAGGTTGACAATAAGTATAATAAAGGGTTAAAAATAAACCCCATGGGACATTATTTCAGCCTGTTAAATGGCAGAATCTTAAAATAGACACTTCAAGAATTAATAAAAAAAAACATCCTATGCGCATGGACCTATGTTACCATCTAAACTAAATCTGTTCTGTCAATTTTTTTTTTCTTTCCAGCTTTTTGGCTCATCATTGTGTTTGTGGGAGTTGCAGCTCTCTTATTAACTGTTGTTATTGTTGTTGGATTCATCAGATGGAAGAAAACTAAAGGTGAGAGCAACCACAGATATTATAAACAAGAAGTTTTGATGAACCTGGATTTTTATTGTTGAAGCTAAAGTCGACTCTCTTTTGTCTCTTCAGGAAAAAAACCCCAGATGGATGAAAACACTGTGAGTTTTACGGCTGAGTAATCAAATGTTTCTACAGTTATGACAGAGCTGAATCAGCTGCTCTCTGACAGAGTCATCCAAATCTAAACAGCCTTCACAGAGCCAGTGTTTGACCACATGGAAGTAGACTCTGTTTGTTTGTTGTTTTCAGGGACGGAGCTTAAACCCTGCAGTGAGTCCAGAAAGCAGTCAGGACACGGTGAGATCTCACACTACACCCAGGACAAAGTTACACTCACTGTTTTTAGATTTGTTGTTCAAAATGTAGCTCTATGAGACACACAGTGACTCTTGAATCTAAGTTCTTTCTGCAAGAGAAGAAGTGGGGAGTCTGATGATGCAGCTGGACGACACCAGAACAGACCAGAACACAATCAAGTCCACATGTTACTGAGCAGCCATTATGTTGTCTTCTCTGTGTAGGCTGATCCTGAAGATGGTGTTTCCTACGCCTCCATCAGCTACACCAGGAAGACCAACAGTAAAGGCCGGGTAAGCTGTCTGATTGGTTCTAGTGATGATGGCAGTGAATGAAAACACTTCTCTCATTTAATGTTGTGTAATTTCTGTGTTGTGCTGTTTGTCTCTTTTCCAGGTTCTGGGTAAAGATGGTGATGATGAAGATGATGCAGTGACCTACAGCAGCGTGAAAGCTTCCTCTTCTTCTGCTGGAGCCTCAGCTGATCCCAGCGACCTCTACGCCACCGTCAACTAACCAAACAAATAAGAGACCACAGTGTAGTTACAGCTCATATCATTACAGTTCACTGATAACTGATAAATGTTTTTATTCGACTTATTTTATGATCATTTTCAGGATGTATTGCTGTAAAAAGCCTTTTAGTCCAGAAGGGGGTGCAGTAGGTTAACTAGTAGCACAATAACAACATTATGTGGCTGCTTGAAATGTAACTGAACATAATATATGGGACATTTAGCTTGATGAACTTGCTGTCAGGCACTTTAATGTGCTAGTGCTGTGTTTTTTTTATGTTCTGGTATGAAAGTAATTAAAACAAACTCAGAGGAAGTGGGACAGCGCTCATCTTGACTGAGTCACTTTTGAGAGTTGAATTAAACAGCTGAATGAGAGGAAACTGTGGAAACACCACAAGGGTTAAATTTTCACTGGTGTTAATTCCAGATACTCAAATAAAGCAACAACTGAAATATGAGAGGAAAAGGAAAGGACACAGTGTCACAATGAGCAAGTGAAAAATGATTGTTTAGAGGAAGCAGATAAAACATTTGTATTTAAGAAGCAACCCGTTTAGAGATTTACAAGTAGAAAGGGCAGAGAGAAACGAGGGAGTCTCGATGGTTGAGTTCAGATGGATTAAAATGTCTTTATTTGTAATGGTGCTTCAGTTCACAGGTCAGGATGGATATGACATGTGTTTTTGTTCTGTGGCAGGACACATTATCCTGCTGAAAGAGGCCACTGCCATCAGGGAATGAACTGAATTGAATTTATTTCAGGATAGAGATCATCTCATTTTTGCATAAAACATTCTTTAACAGAATGTTCACATTACATTTAGCTGACGATTATATCCAAAGCAACTTATTGTTTTGACATATGTCAGAAGTTGCAACTTGGGGTCAAATGTCAAAGCATCACACTGCCTCCGCTGGCTTGACCTCTTTCCATAGTGTATCCTGGTGCCACGTGTTCCCCAGGAAGAGGAACTTTCACGGTGCTGTAAGTCTCTGCATCATCTTCATCATCACCATGTTTACCCAGAACCTGGAAAAGAGACAAACAGCACAACACAGAAATTACACAACATTAAATGAGACAGAATGATGCAGGTTAATGCAACATTATGATATCCAGCCATCAATCTGATATAGAAAAAGTGATTCATAAGGCTAGGCCACCTTTTTCCTTTGCTCTGTGGTCCAAATCTGATGCTCACATGCTCATTGTAGGTACTTTCAACAGTGGACAGGGGTCAGCGCAGGCAAACTGACTGGTCTGCAGCTACGCAGGCCCATACACAACAAACCGGGGTGTACTGTGTGTTCTGACCGCTATTACCTTCTTCAGCAATCTGACTGCTTTTCTGTTGGATCGGACGACATGCGTCAATGAGCCTTGGCCATCCATGACCTTGTCACCGGTTCACAGCTTTTCTTTCCTTGGACCACTTTTGATAGGTACTGACCACTGCAGACTAAAACAAGGATAGAGATACAGAAACACAGAGCAGACAAGAACAAATCATGACAGCGTGCCCATTCTCCTGCGTCTAATGCTGGCCGCACAAGAGAGGATAACTGAATTTGGGTTCAATTCATCCCTCCCGACTATTTTTTTAGTTGTTTTTTTTAGCCGAGGTTGGTTGAAACCGATTAAAGGCCCAAATAATCCGGTAGTGTGAGGGGTTTGCAGCCATAATCTTAAGGTTGCCAACTTTATTGGAGGCACCCCTGGTCATCATTAGAGGTTAAAAGATCCAAATCAAAAACATCTGAAATGAAGCACTAACAGCCAGAGAAGAGAGAAAGACGTCCCAGAAAGGGTGCGAGCTAATTCTGCATTTTATTCACAACGCTGCAACATTTCCATGCAGAATAGCAACGCCGCTGCATGCTGTCAAGCTAGATGGATGGCATTCTGAAACAAGGTCACTCTCTTTAGTTCTCCCGCACACCACCAGCAAGCTAAAGTGTCCTCTCAGATATAAGTGGACACCAAGATCCAACAACTCCTGCTAAAGCTGGCCGTCTCTGTCAACCCTGCACACCTAATGTACAGAGGTGTCTACTCACTAGCTAGACCCCTACATGTCCAACAGATGTGTGGACACCACACTGCAACTGTTTTGTGAGCATGACAACAGGGTCTTTTTCTATTTCAAAGACATCAATGTCATGGCGAGATCAAAGCCCACTCTTGTCTGTGCAGGAGGACCTGTGGTTCTCAAGGTCTCCTCAACAACTGGCAGCAGGAGTGCCACTCCGCAGGGTGTCCTCCTACTTGCAGTGTTCACAGCACCCTGATGCGTAGCTGGATGGCTTTGCGAGTGTATCTTCCAAGACTATGTGCTGCCAGGAACAGACCCATCCACTGCGATCCGTGCACACTTCATCCAAAGTGTGGCAGCATCAGCAGAGTGTTGAAGAGATCTGCAACGGCATTGTGGTCTTCATGATGCCCATTTGTGCTTTTCTATCTCTTGGATGTGTCCGGCGCTTCTTAAAATCCGTGCTCGCAGGTGCAACCCAGAAGATTTTAAAATTGTTCGGCTTACCTACAAAGCCTTACATGGTCAGGCACCAGCTTACCTCAAAAAGTTCCTCATACTTTACTGCCCAAAGAAAGCACTGCGCTCTCAAAATTCATGGCAACTTGTGGTGCCCAAGGTCAGAGAGGGAGCCACAGCGTTTATTTATCAAGTGCCTCTATTATGGAACCAGTTTGCCAATTTGGGTTTTGAGTTTCAGAGTTCTCTCCTAGGGTGACAAGCAGGCTTTGCATGCACAGCAAACCGCCAGTCACAATATTGTTCGTGATCAGTTTATCAAACAGCCAAAATAGTCCCCGCCACCATTAGTTGTTGACAACAACTTCAAAATAATGAAGGAACAGGAGAAAACCACTGATGGTGTCACGATCGTGGTGTGGAGGCAGGTTGGAGGACCCAAACGCAGGACACAGAGCGGAACAGGTATAGTTCAACGAAGGGTTTTAATATAACCAAAAGGGAGCACACTTACAGGTGAGTGGCTGAATAACAGAAATCCAAAAGTACAGGGAGACAAGACAAGCAAGGCTGGTTACAGGCAGGTAGAGAGTACACACACGACAGACTGAGGGGTAACATGAACAATGACCAGACAAAGACAAGACAGAAACACCAGGTATATATACACAGGGACTAACGAGCAGGGCGGGAGCAACACAGGTGACAGACATGAGACTAACGAGGCAGAGAGAGAGCAGGGGAAAACAGAGAGACTTGACATGACAAGCAGACCTGGGGCAGAGTGAATAAGCGAGAACACAGAACTAGAACACAGTACAGAGCTTAACAGAGAACACAAGACCCGGAGTAAACACTAAAGACATGAACTAACGTACAAGACCAAGAACATGACATGGAATCAAAGACCAACTAAATAACAGATAATAACTGACCACACAATAACTCAGAGGAACTCAAAACACAACAGACTACATAGCAGATACTGGACACCAGACAGGACAGAACCCAAAACTCAACATACTAAGGCAGATACCAAACCCAAAAGTGCAACACAAAGGATGGACAAAACCGGCAGAGCGTGACAGATGGATGACCACACAGTGGATTTGATTGCAAAAAGAAAAGCATTAAAGCTCAAGAAAGCATAGTCTGCACTCAAAAAAAGTACAGACAAAAAGACAATTTTCAGCTTATTTATTTAAATTTTCTATACATTTTCCCAAACCCACACACAAAAATTCTAGGATGCTTGAAATTCCTGTATTTTTCCATATTGCAATATATATCGCAGAAAAGATAATTGTTGCAATATCAGTTTTTTCCAATGTGTAGCCCTAATTGGGAGCATGTTTTTTGGTGATTTTGCACTTTAAATGAAACTTGATTGATTGATTGATCTGTGAGGAGGGACTTTGGTGACTACCAGAAGTAAACAAGCATAGTACACCGACTGTGCCTGATGTTCAGCTCAGGTGGTAATGGCCAGGCCAAACCCATATCAGTCCAGGAACCGTCTCAGGGGCGGCCTGTCACTAAGGTGATGTGGTGCTTGGTGCTGTGGTACTGGGACATTACTATTTATACGGTCCGCACATATCGGTAGAGGTGTCCTATTGGGTGGCTGTGTTTTCACTGGGTGAGAGTGTGTGTGTGTGAGTAGAGGAGGTTTTACCCAAAGAGTCCAGCAGAGGGCTCCACCTGAACTTATAGAACATTGACCTTACTGTTTATGTTGCTGAATGTAGGGTTTTAAAAAGGATTATTCTGATTAATAGCAGGTGGTTGGCCCGTGGATGATTCAGATGACGTCAGAGTCGATCTGCACATCACACCCATTTAACTCATGAATTGACGAGTGCAAAACAGCTGCTGATGTCAAATGAAGCTGTAATATCATCAAACGCATCCTCATTTCATGTTGTCATACAGTAATAATAGTATTTAGTCTGCAAATGTCATTCCATAGAATAATCATGTGGCGACAGGTGCAATTGGGGCTGTAGGCTACATTTAAGATCAATTTTACTTTTATTATTTCTTACTGTGATGATGAAACTCTCACCTCAGGAAATGATCTCCTGTTACAGACAAAAGGCACACAGCCAAAAAGAAAGCCTGGGAGTTAACTATACTGAATTTCTGTGTAGCGCATGATTTTGTAACCTGTGGCTGTTGCTTCTTTGAACAGATGCTATAATGTGTTTTGCAACCTCAAGATTTTTCTTTCTACATGTCATAATGTTGACAACTGACATGCTCATCTGACTGATTTCATAGCGGTATGCTGTAGCAATGGACATGTGCCATGCATCATATTTAAATGACTTTGCTTTAAAATGACATCTCCGAAGCAAGGATGTCTTCTTTCAGTAAATGCCTGTTGCCTCAACTATGTTTGGATACCATGCCAAATGACTTAAGAAATCAACGTGTTATTCATACGCCTTTTGATGATCCCAGGCTTCTTCTCTCCTCGCGTCTCTTCCTCAACTTCTCCGCTTGCTCCTCGGGCTGGAGGGACTAAGACGTGAGGCGAGGAGGCGAGGAAAGGAGGAAAGGAATTGAGTAGGTACATGAAAAGGCCTTCAGACTTAGGGTGTTTATTAATAATTAAACAGAGGGAAAATATCAGCTCAATCAGGAGAGATTTAATTGAAAAGAGGCTTAAAGAGTAATTAATAGGAAAAGAAATAGGAAATTTTAGGAAATGTGAAAGGGATGTATGCCCATCATGATGAGGGTGTTGTCTGCAGCAGATTGGCAGATGAGGCTGGGTGAGCAGGAGAATGAGTAGGAGAAGAGTAGTAGGAATTAAATACTCAGAGGGATCACAGACGACTGGTTCATCCATCAGCTTGTGAAGCGAAAAAAAAAGTACATAAGTAGTTTTACACAGAATTCAGTAAGCGCCTCTTTGTCTTATGTCATAATAAAGAGTTGAGTATCTGTTCCTGTGAGCTCATGTGTTTCTGATGTTCATCTGGTCATCATTAGTCATCTCCAGAGCTCAGTTGTTAATCAGTAAAATATCATCTTATCTGTGTTCTTCAGCAGCTGCTACAGTATCACCATATTGCACCATGGACATCAGGAGTCAGATTCTGGTGGGAGAGGAGTTTGACTCTTCACCTGTCTGTTCATGTGTGCTGTCAAACATCACCATGGATCCTGTCTGTTTTCTAATAAACACTATCTAAGGATCGCAAGTTTATCTTAAGTAACTATCTTCACACCTACAACTACCTCTTCTTCTTCTTTTCAGTTGGTGAAACACGTCATTGTCACAAATAGACGGGAATGAACAAAGTGTGAACTTGAGCCTTAATATAGTTTGTTTGTTTCAGCGTTAGATCAGTGACTTTGTTGTATGTGTTTGTAGAAGGTGGATCTTTGACAGACTGCTGTGACCTTTGACCTCTTAACTGATGGCTGCATCTCATGTTGCTGATCAAGAATTTGGGGTCTCTGTCAGTCACTGTGGATGAGAGAAAACTACATTTCAAAAATGTAAAAGTGAAAATTGTCAAGAGTTTTTGGCTGTTTGGACATCGACAAGAAATTCAGAGAGACTGAAATCTAAAACAGACTAAAAGTCACTATGAGGAAGTGACATCATCCTAACCACAGGAAGTAGCTGCAGCGTCTCTCTACTAAAGCACTAGTTTAGAAACTCAGACAGTTCTGAGCACGAGAACAAGAGACAGAAGAAGGAGAGACTCAGAGAATCATGATGGTTGAGTTCAAATGGATTTCTTTATTTCTTACAGCGGTGCTTCAGTTTACAGGTAAGAATACATATATCACATATATAAATGGAAGGCACATTGTAAAAAATAACTTGATCAATATTATTAAAGATTCTTTATTAGCTACATTTGATTTAACTAAGAAAACCAAATCTGTTGTTTCTAATGTGGTGAGTTTAGTGAACTCTTGGAAACTAAGGATAAAGAAATAATCGTCACTAACTATGAACATAACAGACATTTTCTCATTTCACTTTATTTTTCATCATTTTCTCAACAGCAGCAGCTGGAAAACTTCCCCCTCCTTCACTGTCAGAGTTGGAGATGACGTCACTTTGCCTTGTGAAAATATGATAGATGATCAGCAAGAATGTGAAATACTATATGGCTCTTTACTGGTTCAGGAAAACAGCAGCAGTAGAGCTGGTTAAACTTGGGCAGATTGTTGAAAACACCAAATCTAAATCAGACAGACTGAGTGTTACAGAGAACTGTTCTCTGGTTATAAAGAAGGTCACAGTCGAGGATGTTGGTCGTTACACCTGCAGACAGTTCATATCAGGACAACAACAAACTCCAGTCTCACATGTTTATCTGTCCGTTGTTATCAGTGAGTATTTCCATCATAATGTTTTCAGCTCAAACTGTCTTGTTAGAACAATATACTGAAACATTACAATAATTATGATCACAGTGATGAAGTTAACTTTACTCTTGTTGTCTTTCTCTCACAATATCTCCATCTTCACCAGTGACTGAACGTAAGGAAGCTGATAAGGTGACGTTATACTGCTCTGTGTCGACATATCAACAATGTGAACTCACAGTGAAGTGGCTGTATGAGGGTAAAGATGTGGACAAAGATAACAAAGAAATGTGGACATGGCAGAAAGGCTGCTACACCACTGTGTTTTTTCTGGATTCTTATTTTATTAACAAATTAAAGTCTAACTTGAAGTGTGAAGCGACAGATATTTACTCTGGAGAAGTGCAGCTGTTCACCTTCAGCCCTCAGTCCTCAGGTGAGAAAACAGGTGAGAATATGCTGAGCTGTTCAAGATGACTAAAACCACCAAAACATTTGTTTATTTGATGACTTTTTAAGACGACATCATCAGAATCAGAAGGAGCTTTATTGCCAAGTAGTGTTTTACACATACGAGGAATTGATAAGATAAGGTGATAAGGTGCTACACGTAGACAAACATTCAGTCAACATAAATAAATGTAGAAATACATAAATATGCAATGGAAGAACAACGTTACAGATATATACATTGAACGGAAGAGAATATTGTGTACATATAAATCTATAAAATGACAACATAAAAATATACAACAACAAAGATCAACAATCAACAACAGATATGTGCAACGTGCCAGGTCTGTGCCCGACACGAGATGAAACTGTATTTACATGTGCAGAGACATTTGTATCATTTGCAAGGGGCGAGTGTCAGTAGTGGACCCAGGTCTTCTTAATGAGGGTAGTTGCAGACGGGAAGAAACTGTTTTTATGGCGAGAGGGTTTGGTCCTGATGGACCACAGTCTCCTGCCAGAGGGGAGAGTCTGAAACAGTCTGTGTCCGGGGTGGAAGGAGTCAGCTGCAATCTTTCCTGCTCACCTCAGAGTCCTCGAGGCGTACAGGTCCGGAAGAGAAGGAAGATTGCAGCCGATCTCCTTCAGCACCGGTCACCAGATGGTCGATCTCCCACCTGTCGGCGGACTCGTCCCCACCAGAGATGAGCCCAATGAGGGTGGTGTCATCCGCAGACTTCAGGAGC